CATGAAGTGCATATATAAAAATGCATGTGTATTGCTGTGACACATTTACCTAAAGTAATGGGCAACTACACATGAAAATCGTCTCTTTCACATACAGATAACTGCTGATGTTTCTAGTTATACAACTGCAAATGAGCTTTTAGCCTTCCTTTCTGAAAACTTGACCATTACTGTCAAGTGGAAGAACTGAAAAATAAGCCATGCTCTAGATCAAGCTAATGACCTCCTTTATTGCTCTTTGGGGATTACAAGATAATCATCTGAAATTTCCTAATAGGACCTAATCCAAAGAGTTCTGTTGACTTCAATGAGATGTTTGTGGTCAGGGTTTTAGTACACACAATTGTATTTTTCTTCTATGGCTGATAAGAACTCCTAGACTTATTCATTGTTTAAAAAGTTATTCCTTTAGGAAAAAGGTCCTGTTTTTCATGATAGGTTTGAATGTTCTAGAATAGGTTCTGTCCACACTGATGGTGTATGTACCAAACTGATGCAACCCTGGAGTTGCTGCTTCTTGACCAAGGAAAATGAGCAGGAAAATATTATGTATTCTTGTGGAAATGTACCAAGCATTTGGTTTTTATACACACACACACACACACACACACACACACACACATCCATGTATGTGTGAACAACACACACACACGTGTGTGTGGGGGTGTGTGTGTGTGCTCGCAAGTACCTTAGCTATTGACACAGTGTAGTGAGGATATATAAACAAAAAGCCAACAGGATTTTGCCAGATCAAGAGTGAGTAAAGACCTATGCAATGTCATTGTAGCTGTTAGGAGAGAAATAGCACCAGGCTAGCCAACCAATCCTTAAAATATAGACTTCTTTTGAGTTATTGAAAAATCCTTCTGGCTAGGTGGTGGCAGCAGCAAGAAAGACCAGGTTCAATTATCTATAGGTATTTCCTGAAACGGTTTAAATAAGATTGGCTCAAGTCCCTGCCCACAACCTAAAAACTAAATTATATCATATGTGCTCATAACACACTACTTCCCCCAGTCACAAGCAGTAAGTCTAATACAACTGGGTTTTCCTGGATATGTCTTCTTTTTTGGACCCCTGTGCTGCATCTGGAGGGTGGGGTCTAAAAAAAGAGCAAATGTCCAGATTTTCTGCTTTCCCAGGCTGGCTGCTTGGGGCTGGGAGCAGTGAGCAAGGTGATTGGTTGTCAGGGGTCATGTGCTTCTGGCATGGGGTCTGGCAAGAGAGTAGGAGATGTGGGAGCTGCTTTGGCAGCAGGACTGAGGGAGGCAGGGGTCTGCAGGTCATGAGTGAGGGGCACCAGCAGGGCTGGGGGGGCAGGTCAGGGGACTGCAGGTCGGGAGTAAGGGGCACTGGCAGGACTGAGAGGGGAGCAGGGGGCTGCAGATCAGGAATGAGGGGAATGGGGGACAGGATGGGTGACTGTGGGTTGGGTGTGCAGGGCACTGGCAGTGCTAGGGGGCTGTGAGTCAGGAGTGAGGAGCACCAGCAAGGGATCAAGGTGTGTGGCTTGTCAGTGAGGGGCAACAGAATGGGCAGAGGCAGGGCACTGGCATGTCACTGCCCCCACCATCATCATATTCCTCCTACACCTCCCCCCTACCCCCTCCCTAACAGGGATTGAGGGGCACCAGCAGGGCCAGGGGGTTTTTTATTTGTGGGGGTAGAGAATTTGCACATTTTTTATCAGGAAAAACCAAGATCCCTGCTAATTAGATCAATTTATATTTCTAGTTATAGTCATTGCTGGTAACTTCTAAAAGTAGATAAGCAAAGCAGACAAATGAAGGCACAAAAGTGACACACACAGTCATTTAACCTTAGAACTCCAGCACTCCAGTACAAAGGAATGTCCTTCTAATGGGAAAGCAGCACAAAGCAATCGGATTCATGCCCCCAAGCCAATAGCTTTATGGTTCACAAGCTGTAAATTCATGTCAACTGACTCCACAGGCATGGATCATACTAAAAACAGCCCAAAATAAATTAAGGAATACCCTCTCCACTTTAAAAAGACCACATTAAGATTAATGGGGCACAAATGGCAGCTGATTTCTCCTGTTATGTAATCAGTATTTAATTTCTGCTTCTTACTGCATGTTTGTAGAACTGCACTAATTACAACACTCCCTCGGGGCTCAGCTTTCAGTTATGGGTTACAATTCTGTTAGAGTCTATCTTCCAGTGCCATGAGCTGCCTTTGCCTTCTTTTGCCAGGAGGCCTTTCTGGAGATTATCCAGAATTCTCATCCTGTCTGATGTATGCCACATGTTGGATTGAAATGTAATATTTCCAAGATGCTTATTCAACCGGAGTATTAAACCTAAGCAACCTCCTAACTAGGGTTAAAAGGCAAGAGGGTTCAGATTATGGCTCGGAGCCCAACTGCCTGAACTGTACTACTTCATGGGAATATTTTATATAGTAGTAGAAAACTTCTTTTTCCTTGGCATATAAACATTATCCCTACACCTTCTTCTTAAATTATGAAGTGGTTATAAATGCAGCATGATGTGACAATGAAAAGAGCAATATTACAATAAATTCCAGCCCTGCTTTACTTTGTTCAAAACTTAATATGACACTTTATAGGGATAAAGCTTAAGGCAGATTTTTTTACCAAGTAATTTACTCCTTGTAAGTAGAAATGAGCCAAAACCAAAACAGTGATCTGAATACATCCTGGGAGGAGTTCAAACCTGGATCTGCACGCTATGATTTGACAGAGCTGTGCCTGAAAGACAGATACCATACTTTCTTACATACAATACATATTTTTTTTCCAAAAAACAGCTGCTGGAAATGATAGTGGGCATCATATGCAAGAAATACAGGAAGAGCAGTTTCTGACAGTTACCAGGCAAAAACAAAAGTAAAATCTGTGGAAGACTCACAGGGAACAGAATAGTGAGCAGGCTTAACTGCTGGCACTTGGTGGCCACCTCCAAATGAGTGTAGACATTTGGTTCCCTGGGGACAACTAGCAGCAGGACACCTTGTGCTGCTGCTAATTGTCCCTAGGGAATGCCTGTGCCATGCACCCTCTGGCATGCAGCAGGTTACCTCAGGTGGGGTACGGGAGCCTGGGGGCCACCTAGCAGCCTTACCTGGGGTCCTAGAGGCCAGAGAATCTGCAGCTGCGTTACTCCTGCAGCTTGGAACTTAACCGGCGGCAGAGCATGGCTCTGGCTGGCCAGGCTCCAGTTTTCATAGAATTATAAAATAGAAGGACTGCAAGGGACCTATATGATCATCAATACTCGTCCTCTGCCATGGGCAGGAGGTGATAGAGTGTGTGCGTAAGGGGGGCTCACACCGGGAGGGGGGAAGGGAGGTTCCCTTGCTGTGCATGCCTCCCGACCTACCCCTACTGGGGTCTTGGGGGGAAATGGGGAACAGCCACAAGGCAGGGGGCCTTCATTCCCTGCCCCACCCTGCCCCAGCTCTGGGTGCAGTAGGCATGAGGCTGCTGCTGTCAAGACATTCACATGGGTAGCCCAGGGGGGTAGGGAACCCACCCCCCACCACACTGGTCAAACCTGTTCCCCCCACCCCCCAAGACCTGAGCACACACAACAGGGAAGGCTTCTTTCCCACACCCCCCAGCCTCTGCATGAGCATCTTCACAGCAGGAGAGGCTGGCGTTCCCGGAGCTGGAGCAGGGTTGGGGGAAATGGAGCCCCCCTGCCTGTGGGCCCAGTCCAGCCCCCACTAGACCCTTCTTGGGTTCAATGGTGCTCTGACTCATGGTATTTTGTGTAAACCAGCATAGAGCGCCTCTCCGGCATTCTGCCTGAACTTCTGTACACACCTTTAGTTAATTATTACAAGGAAAGATTTTTTTCCTTCATTCTGACTTTCAGAAATACAGTTGTGCATTTTATTTCAGTTTGGTCTGTATGTGAGAAAATATGGTAATAGGTAAAAAGCTACCTTCGGCCTACCGAGAGTACCCTATCTCATCTGCTAATTTTTTTTTTCAGTTGCCAAACATCAGTACCAAAAACCAGCATATCACATACGAAATAAGGAGGAATAACCATCTCTATTAAGAAAACACTAATCCAGTCTGTTGTCCCAGTCTCCCATGCCACATATAATGAACATCAGGAAAGGATGCCACCTGAATTTTAGAGCTACATAAACAAACTAATAGAGAGAAAAGGATCAAAGAGAAGCTTCATAGTGCCAATAAAATTGTTTTTGGCTCTCTCAAAATATATTCAAAAAATGTATACACCTTGTATATCATTTTATTCAAGTAAATGTAATCTAATTCAGTGCTTCTCAAAGTGGTGGTCCACGGACCACTGCCAGTCCGTTAGCCACCGGTCACCAGTCTGCAGCGAGTTGCCAGGAAAGAAAGAAATATATTTTCAGAAGCATAACATTGATATGTCATAGCGCCACAGTTCGTACGTTCCAACTCTCCAGGTAACGTCATGTTGCGTGAGGTAAGGAAAGAGAAAGAAACAGGCAGTCGCACATTTGTGTAGCGCTGTTACACGTAGTTGCTGCCGCTGGCTGAACCGGGCACCGGTCCCTGGTTCACTGGAAAAAAAATTGCCAGTCCACCACATCAGATATTTTGAGAAGCACTGACCTAATTTATGTGATGTGAAAAGAAACTGAAACAGAACTCCAAAGTATGGGTTCTTTCTCTTCTTTTATCCTGTTAAACCCCTATATCCGAACAAAGAGCTCTTCATTTCTCTCCAGTCCTTTCTTTTATATCCCCAAACCTGGAAAAAAATTGCTCCTGAAGCATACTTCTTGGTGTTTTAAATAAACTGTGTTAATATGATGTAAGTGCCATATAAAAACAGCTGCACTATTTGTTGTAATTACATATTCTAAAGACATAAATTGTTTATTCTTTCACTGTCAATTTAATTTGCCCATGACAGCTATTTGCTTAAGGCAATAAACCACCTGGTTCATTAGACTTCCTTCTGGTTGTCAAGTTTCTGTCATGATAAACTGTATGCTTGCCTTACAGGTGGTACTGTGAAGGAAAGGAGCTTGAAAACTCACCAGACATTCAGATTATTCAGTCAGGGGATCAGCACTCATTGGTTATTGTTGACGCTTTTGAAGAAGACACAGGACGTTATTCCTGCTTTGCTTCAAACATCTATGGGACAGACTCAACTTCTGCAGAGATTTACATAGAAGGTAACGTTATAAATCTTTGCAGAAAGCAATTAGTAAGACAGCATTTAAAAAGTAGGATGTATTTTATATACTAGCACTAGATTTACAGGTTCTCAGGGACGATCTAAAGGAAAGAACAACTCTATTCTGGATTAATCTAGTTATCATTGGGTGCATCTACATGTGCAATGAATGCACCTGAATAAATTCTGGCACAGTTCATGCTGGAGTTTATTGCTCCCAAGCCGCAGTATCTTCACATGTGCCTGGGACCACAGCACATTGAGCTCATCTGGACATGCCCTATATGGTTATCAGACCCTGATATTTTTGTGATGGTAGTATTGGACATCTGAGTGAAACCTTTATTTGAGCACACAAAACTCCAATTTATATGGCCCAGGGAATGTAGTACTCAAAAAATTTAGTCATATTAGTAACAGATAAGGAAACCAGTAGCATACCCAGTCAGGCATCCACTTAGGGATGCTGTTTTCTTCATTTAAATCCCAGCCTCCAGATTTATTACTGGTAATTCTGTATTTATTTCAGCACAGAACTTTGCTTATTTTTACAACACATCTTTTAGTTTAGTTTAGCTATCTAATATTCTGATCTCAGAAGCTTATACAAAAAATCCCAGTAATGAAGGGTTGTATGATCATTGCACAAATTGCTGGAAAAAGTAGGAAGCTAAGTAAATGTTTTTGCCTTTTTACAGGTGCCTCTTCATCTGAATCTGAAGGTGAAATTAGCAAAGAGGAAATGGATCAGTAAGTGTTACTTCAATTTAAATCTTCTAAATGTATTATTTAAAACAAACAAACAAAATATGGATGCAATTTTTAAGTTAAGTTTTTAGGAATGAGGTGCAAGGATTTTGTGGTTGATATCTTTTATTAGACCAACTGCATAGTTGGGATAGACCAAGATAAGATTTTAAATGCAGCATGTTGTATACAGTGTCTACATGTACAATGATTGCTTGCACACATCTACAATGATTGTTTACAAACAATGCTCAAAGGTATAAATATGAATATAATTGTCTGTAAGCTGCAATACATTAAATGAACTGGAAATTCATGCAGAATGAAAAATTTCAGATTTCAGATGTAAAGAGAAATTTTTTAGTAGAAATGTAAACCAGTATATTAATTCCTTTAACTTGATGTTTTGACCAAATACAGGTGTTCAGTTTCCTTAAATGTTATATCCAAGTTCTACTTTAGATAGAATTTAGTAAAGTTTTCTCCAGTTATAGATAACAAAAAAGTGACATGCCAGGAAGTCTTCACTCTGTTGCAGAAAGTGATTATACAAGGACTAGTTATATTTAAAGTTAGGGAATTAGCATTTGTAAGATACCCTTCAGAGAACTGTAACAGCAGTATGAGATAGAAAAGTTCTTGTTTTATTAGGAAGGTCCAGAAAGCCAACAATATGTCATACCTATTTAGGTAAAACTTAGAAAATGATTCAGCTCTTTCATAGTGAAATCCACCATCTTTCACATTTAGATTCTGATTCAATACTATTCAAATCAATGTCAGTCTTCTCATTAATGGATATGGTGGAATCAGATTGAATCAGATCGAAAACCAAAGCAGTCAGAGCTTTATGCTGAATGCCTTCAAGTGAATCAATTTAGCATCAAAGGCAAGAAATCCTGAAAAAACTCCCAAATTGTTTTAATCAAAGGGACTCAAGCAGGCTCTTTTTTTCTAGTTTTCATGAGATGGGTTTGCATCTCTGGGAATTTCATTTTGATTTTAAAATTCAAAGCCAAGTTTGGACAAATCTGCTCTGTTTTTCCCTTATTTTAGGCAGGAACCAGGAAAACCTTACCTTCACATGGTTCACACTCACACTCATGAAAAACCCTAGGCTAGCTTGAATCATGAGTTTTGCCAAAATGTTAGACTTATAAAGTAGCCCATGATCAGAAGCGTTTTACTAGGCTCAAGGTTGTATAATGAAAACATGGCACAACACTAGCAATGTCTTCTTTAAATGTCTCACATATAACACAGTTCTTCTCATTCATAAGGTTATGAAACGTAGATAGTTTATCCATTTGTGCTATTTCATAGATTTCATAGGTTTCATAGACTTTATGGCTGGAAGGGACCTTGAAGTTCATCAAGTCCATCCCCATGCTCCAAGGGCAGGAAGTCAGCTAGGGTAAAAGGATCCCAGCAAGATAAGCATCCAATCATTTCTTGAATGAGTCCAGAGTAGATGCCTGCACCACTTCAGGAGGGAGTCTATTCCAGACCTTGGGGGCTCGGACAGTAAAGAAGTTTTTCCTTTTGAACAGCCTAAAATGGTCACAAAGGAGTTTATGACCATTGGTCCTTGTTATCCCTTGGGGCACTCTGATGAACAGATGTTCCCCCAGATCCTGATGCACACCCCTTACGAACTTATAGGCAGCCACCAGGTCACCCCTGAGCCTGTGCTTTTCCAGGCTGAAGAGTCCCATGGCTCTCAGCCTCTCATCATAAGGCCTATTCTCTTGCCCTCTGATCATGCACATGGCTCTCCTCTGGACTCTCTTAAGCTTCTCAACATCCTTCTTGAATTGTGGAGCCCAGAATTGGATGCAGTACTCCAGCTGCGGCCTCACCAAGGCCAAGTACAGTGGGAGGATGACATCCTGGGATTTGCTAGAGAAGCATCTATGGATGCAAGCCAGAGTTTTGTTTGCTTTACCAGCTGTGACATCACATTGGTGGCTCATATTCAT